TTAATGGGCTATAATTCACAATATTAGTCAGTTTTTGTTAATTTTGCTTTAATGGCAATCAAAATTTTTCTCATAAAAATTGAGATTTTTTATGGGTTTTACACATTATTATTTTTCTGACCCGATGGAATTTAAATATGCATGCTATGTAGTATTTTATTTTTATGGGCTGTAATGTGATTTCGGTCTGTTGTTCGTCATGGCGGTTAAGCCATAATTCATGATTTATGTCAATTTTAGTTCTTCGACCGAGTGACACCTAAATGCTTTATTACATGAAGATGCTGGTATGGATGCAGGTACGGTTATGGGATGTGGCTACGTATGTGTATCGAAATTAATAGTTGCATGAGATCGTTATTGATTTTCACTTGTACATTAGAATTAAAATTCCTTCTGCCGATAGCATGGCTACATAGAGCGGCCCCAGTTCAAGTATTCTATATCAGTCCGTCATCCTGTGACAGTCTCAGTGCCATGTCCAGTTCTACTTCATGGTGGTACCTGCATGTTTTTAAGTTTATGTAATTATGTTGATTATTATAAATTGGAAAGTGCTCGTTTTTTAACTATATATACGCCGAACCTTTAAAATCGTAGCTTTGAACTTGTGTAGACTGAAATGAATTTGACAGTCTAACGAGTTTCAAAAAGTCGATGTGTAAGTGTAAGATATATATTCAAGAAGTGTATGGAAAGTATTTTCAATTAAAATATATATCATGCAATTAAGTACATGTTAGAATAAACTGTATGTATATATCCAAGGAGTGTCCCTGAAGTATGGGTACGTGAAAGTGTTGAGTACTTGTGTAGTACATGTACGACGTCATGAATCATGATAGAAGTACTCGGGTACATAGCCTAAATGTGTACTTCAACATTCACGAGCTTCATGAGTCATTATGATTTTCGTCATTTTTTTCTTTTCGACCATTTCAAAATTAATTGTGCGAACATCGATTTTCGTGATTTTCACGGACTATAACCAACAATAACACATAATTTTTGGTCTTTGACCCAATAGAAAAAAATAAGCGTATTCCAAAATTCGTTGTTTTCCATAAGCTAGTCTTTTTGGTCCAATTTGTTCGTTTCGACTATTTCGCAATTAATTTTGGGCTACAGGTGAACGATTTTTGTCAATTATCATCCATTTGACCTAATGACAGTTCATTATGACTACCTTTAAATTTGCGATTTTCGTGGGTCATAACTCTATGATTTTTGCAATGTTTGTTCATTTTGTCCTAATATATTTATATGTATTTTAAAATTCGTAATTTTCATGACCTATAACTTGCGACTTTAGTCCATTTTCGGTTGTTTCGACCTAATGACAATTGAAATTTCTTTCATGAAAAATCATTATTTTCATTGACTTTGACCATGATTTTTGGTCAATTTTTCCGTTCTTTGACCTTGTGGAAAATAAATTATTTTCATGAGCTATAGTCGATTGTTTTCCATTGTGTTCATTACAACCATTTAGCAATTAGCTGTATGAACTTCAGTATTCGTGATTTTCATGAGCTATATATCTCACAATTTTTTATTAGTGTTCATTTGTTCGATGGTAATTTGTTATGACTACTTTAAAATTCATAATTTGGTAGGTCATTACTAATAATTTCCGCAAGTAATTATACGTTCTTCAAAATCCACGGTTCAAGGGCTTTAATGTAGGATTTTCTTGTATTTTTGTTACTTTCAACCTAATAAAAACTAAATTTTATTTCGTCAAAAATCGCCATTTTCATGAGCTATAACCCATGAATTTCATCAATTTTAGTTCTTTGACCCGATGGAGAGTAGACACCCGTATTTCAAAATTCACGATTTTCATGGGTTATAGTCCATAACTTATTTCCCTTCGTTTCGACCATTTAACAACTAATTTTGCAAATATCAATATTTACAATTTTGTTGGGCTGTAATGCCCAAATGTGGCAATCTTTGTTCTTTGATCCGATGGAAAATAAATTTGCATACTTCAAATTTATTATTTTAATGGGTTATTTTCCATGATTTTTGTCCATTTTCTTCGTTTCAACTATTTGGCAATTAATGATGGGAACTTCAACGTTCATGATTTTCTTGAAGCTATAGGCCGTCATTTTTGTCCATTATCATTCATTCTACCTAATAATGATCAATAATAACTACTTAAGAATTTGTAATTTTGCTGGTTTATAACTCACCATTTTGGCAAATTTTGTTCGTTTCGTCCTACTGGCAAGTACTTATATACTTTGAAATTCATAATTTTTGCGATTTATAGCCCACGAGTTAAGTCTATTTTCATTAGTTTTAATCCAATGATGGTAACATTTTCTTTCATAAAAATGTGATTTTTCCTATGCATCAACCGACGATTTTTCATCAATTTTTATTCCTCAGCTCATAGAAAAATAAATATGCATACTTCAAAATTCGTCATTTGCATAGGTTATATAGTTTATGATTTTTTTCCATTTTGTTCATTCAATCAGTTAGCAATTAATGTTGTGCAATTTCAATATTCACGATTTTAAGGCGAGACAGACTTTTACTGTCTCGCCCACGCGAGACAGTTTTCACTGTCTCGCCCCCGCGAGACAGTATTTACTGTCTCGCCGTGCGAGACAGAATTTACTGTCTCGCACGTGAGACAGCTTTCAGATGGTCAAAACTACCTTTGTAACTGCCCTACACGTGGCCACTAACTGTTCAAGAACGTGGGAAACGTCGTGGGCGAGAATCACGTGGATAACTGCCAAAATAACGGAGTTTGAAACGTGGGAAGGAAGTTAAGATGAAAACTGCCTGAAATGTAGACAGTATTTTACTGTGTCTCGCGGGCCGAGACAGCAAACACTGTCTCGCCCGTCGAGACAGCAAAAGCTGTCTCGCGAACCTGTTTTCTGCCAACTGTTCTTGGAGGTTATAAATACCCTCCTAAGGCCATTTTTCCCAAGGGGCGGATCATTGTGAGCACTTCAGAGCAATCCAGAGCAATCCAGAGCAGAGAGAGAGCAGAGGTGCTGATCTTACGGCCAATCCTTGAAATTGAGCTTTGACTTGATTTCAAGAAGAACGACTATCTTACATCGATAAGATATCGTTTCAATTTCTCACTTCGATAAACGAAGTCAGAATCATAAACCCCTCACGGTTCAATCAGAATCTGTGATTTGGTGGTCCACGAGTCAAAGCGCTCCCGGCACAGGCAAAGATCCCACGAAAGCAGTGATCCAAACAACGATCCTGCGTTTATTTTCTCAAGAGTTGTAATTTTCTTTTGTTGTGTAAAAGAGTCTTATAAAAAGGCTGTTTTCTTTGAATTTATTGTAATCGACCGAAGATATAATGAATTCGACAACAAATTCGACTTTTGGCGAAAACACAATATACTCCAAAAAGCTAATACGATTCTTGTTGGAAATTTATCAGATAATTAAGATTATAGCATGAAATAAATTCGAATAAAATAATTAAATCTGGCCTGATCAGGAGTAGTCGTGTATTCACTGTCCTAGAAGATTGAGGACCCGCCTATCGCCCTGGCGCAGATGATCCCCTCTCCCCTAACGGTAAAAACCTCCGGAATCGGCCGGCCTCTGTACTCGGGCGAGAGTACAGAGCTTCTGCTCAGATGAAGAAAGTTGCCCAAAAATAAAACCAATACTATGAAGAAATAATATGAAGAGGAGAGAAGATACTTGTTGTTTTTCTTGTTGTTTTTCCGAGAATATGAAGGGCTGCTTATATAGGGGTCTTAGAGAGCCGTTACAAATCCTAGCAATCAATACAGTAACGTACGCCATAATGTCGACCGTTACGCAATAAACCCATAATTAATACGGTAACGTTCGCCATAATTATATAACCATTATGCACGTATTAATTAATTGTCGAGGAAAATAAAATATGTAAAACATGTTAAATTGCCTTTTCTTTAATAAAATATCCAACAATCCCTCCCAAAAGGCAATATTAACTGAAAACTCAGTAATCAATAATCAATAAATACTTGAATTAAATTTAAATTTTAATGTAAAAATTTATAGTTTTGTATTATTATCATAACTTTAAAGTTTTTGATAAAATAGCAAGGACTTTGAAATGATATTTTATCAATTCAAATTTAAGTTCCAACATGTACGAATTTAAAATAGATTGTATTAGTGTTGTATCAAATATAAAATAGCTCATATTTCGATACATGAAGAAACATTCGGCATAAGTAAGCATCACAATTTTGATATATGAAAAACACGATAATAAACGTCTTATAATAATTTTGAAAAAATAAAAATAAAAATAAATAAAATGTGCTGTTTGACAATGTGTGTTAAAGAGAGACCCCTCATGCTGCTCCTTTAGGGATCGAAGTTAAAATGAAAATACCCCTTAAATGACGAGGAGTTCACCAATCCATGCTGCCTTAAGAGATAATCTATTTATTTATAGAGAAATTAATCCTCTTTATTTTTAAACACGAACAAAGAGCAAAATGATTGAAGCAAATGTCATAACATTTTAATACTTGTTTACCTTAATGAATTAGCTACGTTTAACTTCTGTGCAAATTTCGGACAAATTCGCTTTCAATTTGGGCATTTCTAAAATAACCCCTTAACTTTTAGAAACTCACAAAATAAACCCCTCTAAGTTTTGGGTTGCTCAGAAAACCCACTTCGATTTTAATTTTTTAAAAAAGAAGAAACCTCCCTAAAAGGAAATTAAGGGGCGATTCGTAATGCTTAAGGGGGTTATCTGATAAACGCCCAAACTGAAATAGGAAATTTTTCTGAAATTTACCCGTAATCTCTCTAATTTAATACCCCCTGATCCTCATTTATCTCTCAAAGAAGGAGGCTTAAGATGCAAGTAATAAGCAGGCCACGCGCGCGTACGTCTACATCACGTGGTCTGCCACGCAAAGGACAAAGACGATACAACCAAAATAGTGCACGCATCACTCCCTCTTTCGTCCTCTATCATTGGTCAATCTCTATATCTCTACACTTATTTCATGACAATTTCTCTCCATAAATTCTGCTCTCGACTCTGCTCTTGCTGCTCAAAACCCGCACAGAATACCAAAAAGATGGCCGACGGAGAAATCGCTCACCGGACTGTCGCCGTCAACGGCATAAGCATGCACGTGGCCGAGAAGGGCGACGGTCCGGTGGTCCTCCTCATCCACGGATTCCCCGAGCTATGGTACGCGTGGCGCCACCAGATTGTCGGCCTTGCCGGACTAGGTTACCGCTGCGTGGCCCCGGACCTCCGCGGCTACGGAGACACCCAGGTCCCTGGGGATGTTAACGACTACACCGTGTTTCAGATTGTTGGAGATCTTGTTGCTCTCATCGATTCTTTGGGCCAAGAAAAGGTGGCCGTTATTGTTTTTACATATGTCAGTTGCTATGATTTTCCAAACATTTCAGTCTTAATTGTAGCCTATATGAATCCTATACAGATGTTGGGTTTTCTAAAAGAAGAATTTTTCAAAACAGACTGATTTCCTTTTTTTTTTAACCGACTCTTTTTTTTTATTTACCAAAACCGACCCGATTTTGTAATTAGCTACTTAATCACCTTCCTAAACAGTCGGGGTTAGCAACCCCGACTATTTAGGACATTAATTTTTAGGGTTTAAGACTTCTAATTAGGGTTTAACACATTCCTAAATAGTCGGGGTTGGCAACCCCGACTGTTTAGGATGGTGATTAAACTGCTAATTACAAAATCGGGTCGGTTTTGATAAAAAAAAATGGATCGCTTTAAATAAAAAAAAATTAAAATGGGTCTGATTTGAAAATTTGTTCTTTTCTAAAATTGAACCACTTCTATAGTTTGCTTTCAAAAAGCAACCAAGAGATCACTATCTTTAATAAACAGATTTAATATATGGGAGTTGTTCTTTATGAGTGAAAAAATAAAACTGACAACAACAGTTCATAATGATATGATAAGTTGTAGACTCATCTGAGCCGCGTCACCTCGTAGTGAAGAAACAACTACTTTTAGGGTCTGTTGGGTTAAAAATAATTTCCCTTGAAAGCCGGTTAAGGTGTCACTTCTTTTACAGGCTTTACGCAAAAATGTCTCTAGAAAAGAGGATTTTGCTTGAAAGCCTGTTAAAAAATGACACTTTTGATACTTTTGGCAGGCTTTCAACAGTGGCTTTCCCTCAAAACTGTACACTCTCTTTTTTCTATGTGCTTATTGACGAGCAGCCTAATTAAGTTGGATTCCTAGTGGTAACCATTGTTCTATGTGCAGCTTACTTTGTATTGGGTTTAATTTCTAATAATTTGTTGAATTTTCTATACGTTTTGTGTTGGCTGATTTAATTTGGGAATTAAGGTTTTGGTTGTGGGGCATGATTGGGGAGCAATGCTGGCATGGAATCTGTGCCTGTTCAGGCCGGACAAGGTGAAGGCGCTGGTGGCGCTTAGTGTCCCATTTACCCCCCGGAATCCGGCGAGAAAGACGATCGAGTCCTTGAGGGCTACCTATGGTGATGACTACTACATCTGCAGATTCCAGGTTTCTCTTTTAATTGCTTAATTTTTCCCATAGAAATGTTATGCTTTCTTGTTATCTTAGTCTTCCAATGTCGTTGTTGCTTATTCTGTGAATAAATAATTAATGGTGGGCGTAAGATCTTAATTTGGTGTTCTACGAAAGGAATTTAATCAGACATCTCTAGATGTAAGAAAAGAACTATAGGAATGAAAGCGAATATATATCTACGTTGAAGCTTATTGACGAGCATATCATGAGGATTAATTGCAGAGTGTACTACGGCGCGCGGTATAGTCACTTGTACTTCTTGAATTATTTTATTACCAATTACATCCTATCAACTCCACACAATGCTTTTCTAAGTTGAGATGTTACCATGAAGATAAATTACTTTTATTATCCTCATCTTAACTTGAAAAGGACTGAATTACCTTCTAGAGCTAAAAAAAAAAGTAATTCACCATCATCGATCCCAATTCATGAATGTATAATAACAACAACAATAATAATAATAATAAAGATAAAACATTCAGTCAAAAAAATAAATACAAGCCCACAGGAACAAGCTTCTCGTTCTTCATCATAATTTACGATTTTCCAAATGATTTGGAAGAGAACCGTTGTTAACACATTTCAATAGCCAATCTAATGAAAGCAAATATTGTTTGCAATAAGGATGTACAGCTCTACAACTACTAAGCTATATAATCAGCACTCTTGAATTCTACCATTCACCATGAATCTCATATTTTATGAGCAGTTAAAAATTTGCAGTGACCTTTTTGGTTGTTTGGTCATTAATTCCTTTACCCCATAAAATTAATGGTCTACTGATCCTTTTTAACCACTCTTTGTTTTGCACAAATATTCCAATAGGAACCTGGAGCGATTGAATCGGAATTTGCTCGATTGGGGACTTCCCTTGTTCTGAAGAAGTTTTTTACATATCGTAATCCTGGTCCCCTTTTTATACCGAAAGAAGGCTGGGGTTCTCCTAGTGAACAAATTACACTGCCTCCTTGGCTCTCGGAAGATGATATCAGCTACTATGAAAGCAAATTCGACAAGTCTGGCTTCACCGGTGGAGTTAATTACTACCGATGCTTGGACTCGTAAGTAACTAAACTTACAGCACATGCACTAAGGATTAAGGAAATCTAGCTAAATGTATCTTTCATGTCCTATTTCATTACCATATACATTTATACTCTGATGACAAGATATACTATGCGTGAATTTTTGAACTCATGGGGGAGTCTTAATAAGAATTTTCTTGATAAATGTCTAATTCTGACAGCGATTTGATTCACACGATAGTTTAAAACTAATGAAAAAAAAGGAGTCCGTCCTGCAATCAAGGGATGTGCATGGTCAGAAAATAGAGTGAGAGTACGTGATAAGTTGCTAGATACGACTTTTTATATTTTATATTTTTATATTTATTAATTTTGAGACATATGGGCCTAATTATATATATTATCGAGTTTATCTACGAATACAATACACATTATTTGAGAGTCTCTCCCCCCATAGTGTATATATACTCTTGGTTGGTAATGCTGCTTCTGTGACATGTATTCAAACCACTAGGTATGATCTATATATATAAATGATCTTATAATATAAGATTATATATATATACTGGTCTTGATGCGTGTCATATTGTCAAGTCAGTGTCACACCATCCAACATCGCACGGGGACACTGTAGCCCCCATTTACTATTGCATGCGTATGGAAATGATTTTTTTGAGCATATCGGGTCTCAATATTTGCTTTGTATTGCAGAGATTGGGAACTTTCCGCCCCATGGACCGGTGCACGAGTTAACATACCAGCAAAGTTCATTGTTGGAGACTTAGACCTCACTTACAATTCTCTCGGGGCCAAGGATTTCATACACAAAGGTGGTTTCAAGAAATACGTTCCTATGCTTGAGGATGTGGTCATCATGGAAGGAGTCGGCCATTTCATAATGGAAGAAAAGCCAGATGAAATCAATGCTCACATTCATGAGTTCATCAAAAAATTCTGATGCAAATAAAATTTGGTGGTATTTGTTGAGGTAAACTGTGTTGTGAAATCATATTAATAAAGAACCCTCCGCAGGGACTGAGCTACTTGTGAGGAATATAGTAAAAAATAATGTTCTGTTGATATTGGTGTGCTTGTATTTTATTAACTTGGAAGATTTGTTTATAATGGTTATAGATTTAGCTGAGGCATGCATCTTAATTTATTCCCTAAAAAGTATGATCCAGCTGCTTAGGAAAAAATTCGGGCGTACGCGGCGCCTTTAGTTGGTAGGAAAATGTAAAATTAGTGCAGAGAAAATAGAAACGTACTATATCTGAGAGATAATTACAGAGAAAATCACAGGTATAAAACGCGACGTACAATATAATAATGAATGTACAACAACTGGCAAGAGACAAGAGTTCGCGCAAAGTAAATCTTTTTTTTTTAATGTTTACTGCAAAATTTATTTAAATCATTGGATTGCGGTCAACGAATTCCTTCTTGAGTAAGCGAAAGTAATATATTAACCTCTATAGATAAAGTTAAGGCTCAGACATGTTCCAGAGTAATAAGCCAATGGTTCTTTTCAAATAATAATAATAAGGGAAAAATGCTTCCAGCCCCCAAAACGAATGAAAACAAGCTTCCCACCCCCAAGACTTTTTCAACGGGTGTTTTGCCCCCAAAAGTAAATTTTTTGTTCTCTGAGCCCCCAAACACAAAGCCCAATGAATTTCACACAGGGAAAGACTATAATACCCATTCTCTCTCTCTCTAACCCTGCAATCCCTCTGCTCTCCCTCCTCCCTCCCCCACCTCTCCACCCGCCGCCGCCGCCCTCCTCCTGCCATCCTCACCTTCTCTGCCATCGTCGCTCCGGCCATCCACAGCATCCTTAAGATCCACAACGCGGAGAAAACCTCGGCGCGGTTCGAGGAGTACAAAGAGATAGTCCGCTCGAGGGCCGAGCGAAACTCCGGCGATGAGCGCTGCATAGCCGACGGGAACAAGCGACTGAGGTTTTACTGCTTCATGATTCTCTGCGAGCTGGGTTTCATGGGAGCGTGGGAGCGGGCAGGAGGACCTGTTCATGGGAGCGTGGGAGCGTGGGAGGACCTGTTCATGGGAGCGTGGGAGCGTGGGAGGACCTGTTCATGGGAGCGTGGGAGCGTGGGAGGACCTGTTCATGGGAGCGTGGGAGCGTGGGAGGACCTGTTCATGGGAGCGTGGGAGCGTGGGAGGACCTGTTCATGGGAGCGTGGGAGCGTGGGAGGACCTGTTCATGGGAGCGTGGGAGCGTGGGAGGACCTGTTCATGGGAGCGTGGGAGCGTGCGGGAGGACTCGCCCAACCTAAGAACAATAATAAGAAGAAGAAGGACAAGATTGATAGTAATTACAACCATGCCCCCTAGCAACACGTATAACCTTAACAACCAACCCGTAACATTAACAACAAACACGTAACCTTCATATTAACGGATCTTGAGGATCTCTCTGTCGGATTGTTAGGCTCTGAAAAACACGCTAATTGAAGAAATATGTAAACTCCTGAACGTAGCTTGAAGCTTGAGAAATGTTGTGAATAGTGCCATGCATATTAATTAAAAGATGTTGACATATTAAGAGTTATTAAAAAAAGCGAGTGTTCTTGAAAAATATATAAATTTATTTTGGTTACCTATTAAAGACGTTAACATGGATGGGCGGGCCAACATGCATAAAAATAGTGCATCTAGACTTCCTATATCGTCTAAAAGTTACTCTAAATATACAGAACACTCAAGATCTCTCTGTCGGAATCAACACGTTTTTCCCCCGTCGAGCTTGGATTTGATGTTTTGGTGCATTTTGTTTGCTTCACTGGTCCTTGTTCTGCTGTTATTGTGATGTCGAGATTTCACCTTGTTTGTTAGGTCCAAGTTTACATTTTTCTTCAATTAGCGTGTTTTTCAGAGCCTAACAATCCGACAGAGAGATCCTCAAGATCCGTTAATATGAAGGTTACGTGTTTGTTGTTAATGTTACGGGTTGGTTGTTAAGGTTATACGTGTTGCTTGTTAAGGTTACGAGTTGCTTGTTAAGGTTACGCGTTTGTTGTTAATGTTACTGGTTGGTTGTTAAGGTTACGGGTTGGTTGTTAAGATTACGGGTTGGTTGTTAATGTTATATGGTTTGCTTGTTAAGGTTACGAGTTGATTGTTAAACAAGCAACCCGTAACCTTAACAATCAACCCGTATAACGTTAACACCAATCCGTAACCTTAACAAGCCTGTAACCTTAACAACCAACGCATATTCTTAACAACCAACCCGTAACCTTAACAAGCAACCTGTATAACATTAACAACCAATACGTAACCTTAACAACAAACGCGTAACATTAACAACCAACATATAACCTTAACAACCAATGTAGGACATTCTAATGGGGGAGTAATTTTAACAAGCAACCGGTATATTTTTATTTGGGTTATTTTAAAGTTTTTTGGTGGTAATAGTTTTAGCGTTGGTAATTAGTAACATGCCCGTACCCATCATCATGGCCATCATCATCAACTTTCTCCTCATGGGCGCTCATCTCTTTCGCCAAAACCTCATCAAAATCAATCTTTTTACTCTTCAACCCCCTCTTCTACTTGCTGTTGGCCTCCTTCGATTCAAGGGTCTCTTCAAAGGCATCGAGGATGAGGTGGATGACATGGCGGTTGGGTGAGGCATCCCAACGAGCCCAGAAGCTCTTGTACCATCCAAAGCAGGAGCAGCCAAGGTTAGGGGGCATGGTTGTAATTACTATCAATCTTGTCCTTCTTCTTCTTATTATTGTTCTTAGGTTGGGCGAGTCCTCCCGCACGCTCCCACGCTCCCATGAACAGGTCCTCCCACGCTCCCACGCTCCCATGAACAGGTCCTCCCACGCTCCCACGCTCCCATGAACAGGTCCTCCCACGCTCCCACGCTCCCATGAACAGGTCCTCCCACGCTCCCACGCTCCCATGAACAGGTCCTCCCACGCTCCCACGCTCCCATGAACAGGTCCTCCCACGCTCCCACGCTCCCATGAACAGGTCCTCCCACGCTCCCACGCTCCCATGAACAGGTCCTCCTGCCCGCTCCCACGCTCCCATGAAACCCAGCTCGCAGAGAATCATGAAGCAGTAAAACCTCAGTCGCTTGTTCCCGTCGGCTATGCAGCGCTCGTCGCCGGAGTTTCGCTCGGCCCTCGAGCGGACTATCTCTTTGTACTCCTCGAACCGCGCCGAGGTTTTCTCCGCGTTGTGGATCTTAAGGATGCTGTGGATGGCCGGAGCGACGATGGCAGAGAAGGTGAGGATGGCAGGAGGAGGGCGGCGGCGGCGGGTGGAGAGGTGGGGGAGGGAGGAGGGAGAGCAGAGGGATTGCAGGGTTAGAGAGAGAGAGAATGGGTATTATAGTCTTTCCCTGTGTGAAATTCATTGGGCTTTGTGTTTGGGGGCTCAGAGAACAAAAAATTTAGTTTTGGGGGCAAAGCACCCGTTGAAAAAGTCTTGGGGGTGGGAAGCTTGTTTTCATTCGTTTTGGGGGCTGGAAGCATTTTTCCCTAATAATAATAATAAGCCTAACATTGTGGGCCAAAAGAGTAACCGTGTTGTTTGCAGGTCATAAGTAATGAGAAAGCAACACTCAGCCATCTAAAGTGAAGTAAAAGGAAACGAAACGACTCAATATCAACGAAAGAACCAATAGCAACGTGAGTAGATTAGATATCAAAGTGTGTTACCTAAGAGAGAACATATACTAAAGCTTGTAAAAAAGCAGTAATAACCTTGCTAAGAACTGACATATGAAGTTTGTAGCTATCGATGCAACGCAAGATAAAATTGGCACATTAATGCATGATGAGATTGGGCAATCATAACTATTAACTAGACAATCAACAGTTTTTAATAACGTAGTGGTCTCTCCGCTACTCCGTTACTTTATAATGGAGATGATCCAAATCCATACATCATCTGAATCTATTGCATGAAAAATTTGTGTGGCTCAAAATTTGCGTGTCTTCAGCTGGATCTATTGCGTGAACAATATTTTAAGCTGTTAGAACATTGTAAAGGACAAGATGCCCCTCCCTGATTCATATTGTTTAATTATTATATATGTGAAAAAACCTATGTAAATTGACTTTAAACACATGACCATATATGCGTGCCTCTACATTTGAGGTTCCTTTTTCATCTGCTTATAATTTTCTACTTCATAGGCAAGTGGGCACACAATACAAATCTTTTATCAAAATCATATGAGGATTTAAACCATAAATAGAATAGCCAAAATTTCTACGTATGGTAGCATATGAGAATATATAGCCTATGTATATAGCATTATGAGCCGTCATCTTGGCCGGACACTGGTCAGCAATTAAAAAACACAAATAAATTTTTGATCTTTTGAGCTTTTTCCATGTCGCATTCTTTCCAAAATAATCTTCATTACATGAGTCTTTTACTGATTGGAATAAAATAGAACACGTTTAATAGAACGAAATTCCCCATTTATTTATCTCTTGTGTAGACGATAAAAAATTACCAGATAATATTTTCTTCGAATAATACAATACGATTCAATATCTTCCATTGAGGCGAGATATTCCCACCTACTGCACGCTTACTGCACGCTTACAGTAAATTTTCAGCGGAATTAGGCAAACATCAGACTGATCTGAACATGCATTTTGGTTGGCATCAAACAGAAACAGATTGATAGCTATATTAATAATTAATTCCAGGGTACGCAAATTACAGTATAACAATATGCTTTTAAACGTTGTTAACGATTTAATCAATATTCAGTACACCAACGTTGAGATGGCCGAGTTGGTCTAAGGCGCCAGATTAAGGTTCTGGTCCGAAAGGGCGTGGGTTCAAATCCCACTCTCAACATTTATTTAATGAACTATTTCGTAATTTTTTTCCTTTTGTTTTAACTTTTTTTCCTCCTGTGTGCTCTCTAACTTTCAATATAATGACATTAATTAAATCCCATTACATTTAATGACTTATTTTGTGATTTTTTTTCCTTTTTTTAAAAGTTTTTCCTCTGTGTGTTCTCTAACTTTCAATATAATGACATTAATTAAATCCCAAGATCCCCAACCTATTATCCTAAGTTTTTCTGGACGTTTTATCTAGAAGATTTGAAATATAACACCC